ACATACCGCCCGGGCAACGAAGGAGTGGCTTCGTAAGAAGCAATTCAAGGTCCTGGAGTGGCCTAGCCAGTCTCCAGATCTCAACCCCATAGAAAACCTTTGGAGGGAGTTGAAAGTCCGTGTTGCCCAGCTACAGCCCCAAAACATCAGTGCTCTAGAGGAGATCTGCATGGAGGAATGGCCCAACATACCAGCAACAGTGTGTGCCAACCTTGTGAAGACTTACATGAAAAGTTTGACCTCTGTCATTGCCAACAAAGGATATATAACAAAGTATTGAGATGAACTTTTGATATTGACCAAATACTTATTTTCCACCATAATTTGCAAATAAATTCTTTCCAAATCAGCCAATGTGATTGTCTGGATTTTTTTTCTCATTTTGTCTCTCATAGTTGAGGTCTACCTATGATGCCAATTACAGGCCTCTCTCATCTTTTTAAGTGGGAGAACTTGCACAATTGGTGGCTGACTAAATACTTTTTTGCCCCAATGTAGGTGCATTCCCACTTTGAGAGGCAGAATTAAAAAAAAAAAATTCAGGAAATCACATTGTATGATTTTTAAAGAATTTATTTGTCTTGCACTGCTGAACATAAGTATTTGAACACCTAAGAAACAGCAAGAATTCTGGTTCTCAAACACCTGTTAATGTGCCTTTAAAAAGTCCACCTCTACTCCACACATTAATCTTCGTAGCACCTGTCTGAGCTCTTTAAAGACACCTGTTCACCCCACAGTGTTACAAATATTAACACTGATTTTCTCAGGTGTTCAAATACTTATGTTCAGCAGTGCAAGACAAATAAATTCTTTAAAAATCATACAATGTGATTTCCTGAATTTTTTTTTTTTTAATTCTGCCTCAAAGTGGGAATGCACCTACAATGTGAATTTCAGACCCCTCCATGATTTCTAAGTGGGAAAACTTGTAAAATCGCAGGGTGTTCAAATACTTCTGTTCCTCACTGTATACACTTATTGGGATTTTTTGTTTTACCAAAAACATGTAGCAGAATAAATTTTGGCCTAAATTTATGACTAACTTTGAGTTTACTATATATTTTTTTTTTTATAGCCGAAATTAAAAAATTGTTTTTCTTCAAAATTTTCGGTCTTTGTTTATAGTGCGAAAAATAAAAAGCTCACAGGTGATCAAACACCACCGAAAGAGAGCTCTATTTGTGTGAAAAAAAGGACGTAATTTTGTTTTGGTACAATATTGCATGACCGCGTAATTATCAGTTGAAATAGTGCAGCGCCGAAAAGCAAAAAAGAGGCCGGTCATTAAGGGGGGGTAAATCCTCTGGATGGCAAGTGGTTAAAAACACTCACAAGAACAATAAACAAGCTCATCTGTGTATGGTGATATGGCTGCTCCTATCCATCCTGCAGGTTCCGCTGGTCATGCCATAGATGTTGGCTGGATGGTATGAAGCTGTTGGTGCAGTGGGGGAAATCTTCCTGATGTATGGGAGTATGGTGGACCCGGTCCGTCGGTGTCTAACAAATGTTAGAGTCCGCACTAACCAGCGTGGAACGCACCGGCGGTAGTGACGTCATCAGAAGAGGGTCAGATGTGAAGAATGCCAGGAACACAGAGAAACAGGCTATGCGTTCAGAACCTCTAGCTCCTTCTACAGGGCTCAGAGAGCCTAGCCTGTTTCTATAGAATTAGCCTGAACTGAAACCTGGGAATTATGATGGCATTTGAAGCTAGAAATACAGGTAGTTTGTTGAATCTGGAGAGTAGAATGTCTAAATTCAGAGTCCCCCATGTCAGAAATATCAGGTTGAAGATGTTTGGGTGAAGGGATCATTTCCCTTGATCCAGGAGGTGGTGGCTGAGGTAGTCTGCTTTCTAATTGCTAAACTAGCAATACTTACTGTGTGTGTGTGTGAGACACACAGTGCTCAACAATCAGGAATGTCTGTGCAATTGGTCAAAAACCATTATAGCAGTACAATATCTGCTGACAATGCAAAGCCAGCCATATGTGATTATCGGAAAAAACTCAAATAGAAGTGACTGTAAACAATCACTCCTATAAATGGTGGTTGCGGACATGGCACACACTGATCTCCAATCCCAGAGGATGCCATTTTTGAGGTAACACGTTGGGCAGAGTCTGCATGTGATGTCATGACATATCGGCGTGCTGGCTGACACCGCTTGATTTTAATGATCCAAATGTAAGTGCAATACTTTTTTTAAATAAAAAGTTTGATTGTACTGCACTATGAGGCTTCTCCCTGCATTACACATACAATCGTGGTAAGCGACATTTGAAACAGACTGATACTTGGTTTGCCCACACACTCCATAGATGAGGTAAATTAACCATCTGAGGGTCAGACAGTGAGAGTGCCGACCTGGAGTTCAGATTCAAGCACTTTTGAACTTTAAGTCAAGATGACTTCTATTTGGTAAGAAGTGTCTCTTTTCTAAGGAGCATTTCTGAGCACAGGAGCACTTTTTGTGAGGAAGTTTACAAGCATGGAGAACTTTGTCACTTTTTTTTTGGACTATTTATGTATATGAACTTTGTGATTTGGATTCCTTCTTCGCTGGGATTTATAGAACATAGGAATTATGTTGGATTTATTTGATTTGTCATTGGTATTAGGGGGGGGGAATAGTGCCCCATGATTGATGTCATTGGAAAAAATATCGCCCCATCATTGGTGTCAGTGGGAGCTTTAGTGCCTCACTGTGTCAAAAGGAGGAGTAGTGACCCATCTCTGGTGTTTGTGAGAGAAATCGTATAAGTGAGTGGAACTAAGCCCCATTGTTTGTGTAGCTTTAAGAAATATTATTACAGGTACTTCTATAGCGCTCTCAATGTACGCAGTGTTTTACACACATATTTTACATTCACATCAATCCCTAACCCTCAAGGGGCTTACAATCTAACATACCTAACTTACATTCATACATACACATACTAGGGCCAATTTAGACAGGAGCCAATTCACCTACCAGCATGTCTTTGGAGTGTAGGAGGAATCCAGAGTACCCAGAGAAAACCCACGCAGGCACAGGGAGAACATCAAACTCCAGGTAGGTGGTGCCGTGGTTGGGATTCGAACCAACGACCCTAGTGCTAACCATTTATCCACTGTGCTGTCAAATAGGGTCTCATATCAGATTAGTAGTGACCCAAGGGTCGGATAAAGACAAGCAAAGGGCTGCAACCAGCCTGCAGGCCCTAGTCTGTAGACCACTTTCTTAGGACAATAGCAAAAGTGAGGACTCAGAGTGGGGTAGGGTTACAGGGAAGAAAACCAGATACTGAAAGCTTTGTTAGTGTGCAATAGTCTGAAGGCACAAGCCTTTAACCCAGGGTCTATGAATACTTTGCCTCTGTAGGAATAAGACACTTTGTTTCTAGCATTCAATTGAGAAATGAATAGACTTTCCTGAAAAAAAAACAACATACACTGTTAAAATTTAGTTTGAGGAAAAAAATATCCTGGTCCATCAAATTTTCTCATCACTGCAGTTGAAAATATATGTTCATTTGACTACAGCAACAATTAGAAAATAAAAACAAAATGTTCTTAAAATAAAATATATATCAAAAGAAATTCTACTAGTGTATGGCCAGCTTTAGACTTGAAACTGGAGATGGAGGGGACCACAGGCAAAAGTTCTAGTTGAACAGAAGGAATCTTAATTGAGTTAGGGTCTCAAGAAATGGCAGACGACCATGGACACAACTGCAGGTTTCATGGTGGGGCGAGCCAGGCCAAAAAAAAAAAAAAAAAAAAAAAAAAAAAAATAATAGGGGCCTTAAAGAGTGCTTTCACCTTCTGTTCACAGGGTCCACCACAAGGACCACCCAGGCTAATCTACACATCTTCTCCAGACAGATTCCAGGTACAATACCCCCAAACCTTAGCTGGGGGGTTAACCAATGCGGAAGCCGCATTGGATAAGGAGCAGCCAGGAATGCTAAAAGAAGAATTTTATATATAGGGAAAAAACAATTCCACAGAAAAGCAGAAAGGCAAGCTTCTCTTTGTAGACATTAGCAAAAGTACTGTGACTAACTGGGAGAGAGAGGTGTTATATAGAAAATGTCCAATCACAAGGTAGATGCATATAGCATATGGTTGAAGTTCACAGATCTTCCCATATACAGCTATCATCTGCCAGTGGAGCCTGGTGAGGTTTCTTGGTGCCTATAAACAAAAGGATTCTAAATATTATGCCCTCTTCCTCTGGACAGCAGGCACCTGCAGGTGCCCACACATTTTAGATCCTTAGCACAGTATCCTGAAACCTCACCTCAGGGCTACTATTTATCTACAACCCTTCCCACTATCTGTGTCTTCATGCTGGTTGGCAAGCTCACCTACCATATACTGTTCACCAGAAAGAAGAGCAAAAGCAAGCAAAAAAGGATAGGGGATTGATATACAGCAATCCTTAAAGCTCTAGTTTGCAAAGTCCTTCACAGAACACCCCAGATTTCAGGCTATTGGAGAGCTCTGCAAAGAAAATAAAATGGTTAAAGGAACCAGAACTTGCACAATAACAAATGTCCTACAAGCGATAAGGAAAACATAACTCCATCTTCTAACTGGATAGAAGGCCAATTATAATATGCAATGTTGCATCATCAGCTAGAAAAAAAAAAACAAAAAACACAAAAACAACACACAAACCTATTTTTTTTGTCCACACCATGAGCACAAATATATATACTAAAACACCCTATTTGTTCTTTTTAAGCATTCTGCTTTTTCACCCTAAGAGTTTTTCTTCAATTAATGATCATGTGAAAACACAGTAATACCACTTCCTTACCATAAAGTTGCCAGGAGAAGCATAGGATGTAAGACCATTTTATTTTTAAATACTACTAAGGGATTAAGCAGGTGTCAAGTCCAGTTCATCACTTCCTATGGCATTCAATCTTAATGAGGGTGATATAATATCGCATGAAAACAAACATTATGACTGTGTATGTCAATTAAAAAGAAAACACACTTACTATCAGAGCTTTTGACTGCATATACATCAATGTAAGGGTCAAATTCTCCAGGGCCCCAGAGGTTTATGGGAGTTCAGGTATCCTGCAATTCCTTCTGGGGAAGTCCCATAAGAACCAACAGCGACATACTGTCCTGGACCCTCACTTTCAGCATCCTCTTCTTCCATCTCCTCTTCCTCCTCTTGCTCTGCTCTAGAGACATCATGAATTCCCAGCAGCAGGCTATAGTCCATGATTTTTAATTGCACTAGAAACTAAGCACATAGTTATCAAATCATCACATTTCCATAAGACAACTGGACTTTCACCTAAATTTAAAACAAAACCGCTTTTTCTGTTGTGGGTGTGAACAATCCCTCACCAGTATTTACTGCCATTTTCCACCACCCAAGTACAGCCCTGTTGAGCTGAGCGGTTGTCATTAAAGGCCTTCCTAGGTTCTACCTGTATGCCTTAAAAAAAAAAAAAGGAATAAAAATGTCCAATTCTCCAAAATTATTTAGGTCAGCGATTTGACCATGCTGGGAATGAGATCTGTCCACCGAGGTCTAGGGCAATAAAGAGATTGGAGGTACAATGGAACTGTGCTAAACCCAATGCAAATGGTAAAATTAGCTTAACCAAAGCATTGTCTACACAAAATTTAATCTTACTAATGCAAAATGCCAGTTTAAATTGTATTGCACGACTTAACAAGATTCGGCATTACTTACATGAATAACAAACATGGAAAAAAAAAAAAAAAAAGGAATTTTGACTTACTAGTAAATTCCATATAGTGAAGTATAGTACAGGGCACAGGCAAAGTATTCACAGACCCTGGTTACAGACTCATATAGTGGATATTAAATAAATAAAAAAAAAAGCTACACACCCGTTAAAATGTCAGGTTTCTGTGATGTAAAAAAAAATGACAAAGATAAATAATTTCAGAACTTTTTCCATCTTTAATGTAACCTATAAACTGTACAACTCGAACAAACTGAAATCTTTTAGGTGGAGGGAAGTAAAAATAAAAAAACTAAAATATTGTTGCATAAGTATGCTCACCCTTAAACTAATACTTTGTCGGAGCACCTTTTAATTTTATTACAGCACTCAGACTTTTTGGGTATGAGTCTATCAGCATGGCACATCTTGACTTGACAATATCTGCCCACTCTTCCTTGCAAAAACACTCCAAATCTGTCAGATTGCGAGGGCATCTCCTGTACACAGCACTCCTCAGACCACCCCACAGATTTTCGATCGGATTCATGTCTGGGCCATACCAAAAAACTTTAATCTTCTTCTGCGGATGCCATTCCTTTGTTAATTTGGATGTATGCTTTGGGTTGTTGCTGAAAGATGATGTTCCTCTTCATGTTCAGCTTTCTAGCAGAAGCCTGAAGGTTTTGTGCCAATATTGACTGGTATTTGTAACTGTTCATAATTCCCTCTCACTTGACTAAGGCCCCAGTTCCAGCTGAAGAAAAACAGTCTCAAAGCATGATGCTGCCACCCCCCCCAGAAGCACCACCATGCTTCACTGTGGGTATGGTGTTCTTTTGGTGATGTGCAGTGTTGTTTTTGCTGCAAACACATCTTTTGGAATTATGGCCAAAAAGTTCAACCTTGGTTTCGTCAGACCATAACATTTTCCCCACATGCTTTTGGGAGATTTTTGCAAAATTTAGCTGGCTTGGGCTGTTTTTCTTCCTAAGAAAAGGCTTCCGTCTTGCCACTCTACTCCATAGCCCAGACATATGAAGAATAAAGGAGATTGTTGTCACATGTAACACACAGCCAGTACTTGCCACATATTCCTGCAGCTCCTTTAATGTTGCTGTAGGCCTTCTTGGCAGCCTCCCAGACCAGTTTAATTCTTGTCTTTTCATCAATTTTGGAGGGACGTCCAGTTCGTGGTAATGTCACTGTTGCACCATATTTTCTCCACTTAATGACTGTCTTCACTGTGTTCCATGATATATCTAATGCCTTGGAAATTCTTTTGTACTTTTCTCCTCACTGATACCTTTTAACCTGCCTAGAGGTAATCCCAAGCATAGCGGAACTAGCGGGAATTTAAAAAAATGTAAAAATTTGACATTCACGCAACATACTAAAATCTGATAGTATTACATTACTGTATCAAACCATTTCATATACATTTTGTCCCTAGTGCTTTGTCCTGTGCCCTGCCTGCATTTTTACCGTTGTTTCTACCTCGAAACTGAGAAACGACCATGGCATCCAAAAAGCATCCCTTTAGGTCAAAAGCGGTTTTAGACCAGCTAGAGAACAGCGATAGTAAATTAAAACCACTTGCAGAATTGAGTGATGATTCGTGGGGAAATTCATCAGACACGGAAAACGACTTTGCGACTGAGCTCAGTGATATGTGAACTTGGCGCTCTATTTCAAATTTCAGTGTTTTTGGTTAGATTACATTATTGAATAAATGTATTATTTTTTATGATTAATTATATTATACGGTATGATTTTGTGTTTCAAATCTTATACCCAGGATGTTTGCTAGACTCTTGTTCGGACAAATTTCAGTGAGTTATTTTTAAGAATTACAGGCCTACAATAAAAAAAAAACAGCATATTTCCATTGAAAACAATGTACCGCTTTGAGCACAGAAATACTGACAATCATACCGCTAGGGAGGTTAACAATGAGATCCCTGTATATACTTTGGAAGCTCTCTGCCGACCATGGCTTTTGCTGCAGGATGCGACTAAGAAAATGTCAGGAAAGACCTACTAGAACAGCTGAACTTCATTTGGAGTTAATCAGAGGCACTTTAAATGATGGCAGGTGTGTACGGACTCCTATTTAAAATGATTTTGAATGTGATTGCTTAATTCTGAACACAGCTACATCCCCATTTATAAGAGGGTGTACACACTTATGCAACCACATTTTAATTTTTTATGGTTACTTCCCCCCCCTAAGAGATTTCAGTTTGTTTTTCAATTGAGTTGTACAGTTTATAGGTCACATTAAAGGTGGAAAAAGTTCAGAATTTATCTGTGTTTAATGTTTTTACATCACAGAAACCTGACATTGTGGGGTGTAGACTTTTTATATCCACTGTACCTCCAAGTGATTAGACACAGGAAAGGCTTTCAAGAACATGCCCCCTGGGCACCTCCCTTAAGACCTTACCTTACTCTTTTGTAGCAAGCAATGAGTAATAAAGCAATGGAAGCGAGGGTTGCCTGTATTCAAAAATATGGAATTTAAAGGCAAGTCAAAATTACTCATCTTAATCCCACCGTAAAAGACACAGGCAAAAGTACTCATAGACCCTGCGATATCCCCATGCAAGAAATTAGACGGGTGGGCAACAACGAAGCAAAAACAGAAATGCGTACAGATCCAAACAAGAAAAGTCAAACAGACCCAACTTCAGAGTGCCGCTGCAAGAACTCTTGTTCTTGGTAAACTGTGCATCTACCAGGTAGAATTTTAAAAAAGGTGAGAACAGGAGGACTAGGTGGCAGCCTTACAAAGCTGGGCTACAGAGGCCTGGTGCCAGAATGCCCAGCAACTCCCACCGATCTGGTGGAATGGGCACGTAAAAGTGAAGCAAAACATTTTTGTACTTGAGAGTGTAAGTGCCAGGGCCAGACCCAAGTATTCCATGCAAAGAGAAGGCTAGAGCAAATTGTTGAAAATTGTGATCTCCCAACTGAAAGCCTGAAGCAGCTGAATTGTCCTGTGGACATATGCAGACAGCTGGACTAGTAAAAAGAGACCTACTGGAGAGGTTGTCTAGATAACCTGGATGCCCTAAATTCTAAGGGCAAGAAAAGGTACTAGGACCTTTGTGAATACTCAAAGGATAAACAAAAGGCAGTGCAACAAAGTGGAAATGACTATCTGCTACTGCAAATTGCAGTAAGCGCTGGTGAGGTGGATAATTGAAGATACGCAAAATCAGTATCTTGGATGTTTACAGATGCCAGGCAGATTCCATGCAACATTTTGGAAACTGAAGGAATTTGTTGAAGGATTTCACGTTCAGAATAGGACGAATACCCCCGTTGGACTGACACTGTGAACAGGTTTGAATAAAACCTTTGAATCTGTCTTGACGGGGTACTGGCAGAACTACTGCCTAGGACAAGAAATGGATCAGGGAATTCTGCAAATCTGACTGTCCTTTAGCAGTTTATGATTGATTTGAGAAATGAAAGCATAGTAGGGGTAGAGAGTTGAACGCTATTTTGTACCAATTTGAAACCACTGATTGAACGCATAGGTCTGGGACATCTGTGACCCAGAGAGAGGCAACTTGTAAAAGACCACCCTCACACACTCTTAGGAGGGCTCCTCTTCATAGAAAAGGGCTTTAGGGATGGCCTAGTGGGATTTGTGGTCCACGTCTTGCGCCAAAAGGGTGAGCTGCGTTTAGATTTGAAGTAAAGCAATTAGCTGCTCTGCATTATGAGGAAGTAGAGGTCCCTGAGGAGGTTTTGGAGTCTTCTGCTGTGGAAGTAACCTTTCCTCCTGTGACATCTTTTCTGAACTGGTAAAGCGCCTACCCAAAACGACATCTGCCTTGAAGGGCATACGTGTGAGACTACTTGCAGTGTCAGCTGTCCAGGCTTCGAACCAAAAGATTCTGTGCATGTGAACAGATTACAGTAATTTTGAAAATTTATCTCATGACATGTTCTAGGGCAGGCATCAATAAATGACGGACCGCGGTCTGGAGCTGGACCCAGTAACAGTCCTATCTGGACCGCAGCCTCAACAAATATTTGCTTGAGTGTCCTCTCACCGCCACTGGCTCGTGTGCCCACAGCGGTCGCTAATATCCTCAAAGACAGCTATAACATGGGAGGAGCAACAGGTCTGTCCCTTTCATAGCATTGCAGCTCTCCTTCCTTCCTCCCTTCTCTCCACACTGCCCCCCCTTATTCATACAAGGCGAGAAGCACAGCAGGTCTGGACAAAGAGCAGGTGAATGATTGTTTGGATTGCCCTGCTGCCTATCAACCAAACTCCTGTTTCTTAGCTTGAAAAATCTCACCCTTTGTCCAGACTTGCCGTTCTTCCCCTCTTGCATGAATAAAAAAAGGACAGTGTGGGGAGGGGGGATGAGGAAGGGGGGAGTGCTGTAATGTTATTAAAGGGACAGGAGTCTGTAGTGGAGGGAAGAATGAGATGGGGGGGGGGGGGGGG